CTCTCGTCCGCCTTTCCGATGCTCTCCACTGCGGAGACGCCACGCCAAGGATGCGCCGCTCCAGGAATTTGCGTGAATGGTCTCTGTGACCCCAGTGGCGGGTGAGTCTCACGTAGCGCGTTAGTCGTTGGTTGAGTGCTTCCCTGAGTTGTGGGAAGTCTTCGGGTTGGATGGTTGCAGCCGCCACGTGCACGTCGGCCACGTAGTTGCTAGTGGGGAACATTCTCGTAGCAACATCTGAAAGGAAGTCTTCGACTTGGGTGTCCGGTCCTCTGGGTACGCTCAGCAGGTCGAATTGCCTGGACTGTGGGATTCTGCTTCACAGTAGTTGAATCATGGCAGTTTCTTCCACGTTGAACGCTGCACATGGGACTGTGGCCGCTGCAGAGTCGGCTTCGGGCCACGGCTTGCTGACTCGTGAAACCCATTCGTTCCGTCCGGATTGTCCATCGGTTCCGGTCGCGGGAACCTCGGCATGTAGCACAGCACCCTCAGGGGGACGCTTCTCGGCCAACAATGCGGGCCACAACAGCGGTGCAGTATCACTTAACATTGTTGGTCGACTTGAGTCTCTGACCCCAGACATCAATCGGTACCACCCTTTGTTATCCACCTCGGAGATAATCTCATCGGCGGACACGTTCGTGGGAGTATCGACCACAACGAACCGGAGTTGAGGAGGGCTGAGATAAGGAGGGCTTGTGTGGCTGAGATAAGGAGGGCTTGTGTGGCTGAGATAAGGAGGGCTTGTGTGGCTGAGATAAGGAGGGCTTGTGTGGCTGATATAAGGAGGGCTTGTGTGGCTGAGTGGGGTGGTTGATCAACTGGAGCGAGTGGTGTAAGACCACTGCAGTTGTACGACAGCCACTTACAGGACCACCCCTTACATCACGCCACCACACTTGCATCACCTGCGTGTCGGCCCCACTTGCGTGATCGTTCCGCCGACATGGTCCAACTGGTTCTCCTTGCGGTCGGGGGTCATAATCCACGGCGGTTGCCAAGCCTATTAATTTGGGTGAAATGACGTTTGCGTTCGATTAGCTCTTCGACTTCGGTTCATGCTTCGAGACGATGTTCGCGGGACCTCCGGAGATCCACGTCACAGAAATAAACAGCCCCACGTGCTCATGCACCCCCCCCCCCCCCCCC